AATGAGCATCGGGGCTACAAACAACCACCAAATAATAACCATCCTGCAACATTTTGTTTCTTTGTTTGTACGCTCTGCATTACAGAGCGCATCTATCGAGTGGGCCATGTCGTGTCGCTGATGCCACTTCCTGCGGCACAGCGTTGTCATTCTCTTGCATTGTCGCCAATAGATGGCGTCGTTAACAATGCATACAATCGCATATGTGTCCCTATTGTGCCTCATTGTCTGCTTCGGGATCCACTATTGATACAGTCCAGCCATAACAACTATAGATTAACTATTCAGGCATCGATACACCTATTGCCGACGTGAATTGATGATTGTTATTCTGGATTGTCAGCGTGGACTATGTTGCATTATGCTCGCGTATCTGTTCCATTTCCGACGTGCTATACACAGAATCGATGTGAGTTTACTTTTATACGGGGTTTTGTCAAATTCATGAACGCTCTGCTTTCTGTTATAATAAGGTGATGGAGAAGTGGATAAATAGATAGCTCTGGACTACCTCGAATGTCACCGCTTAATTAGCGACAGGCAGTATGGTTTCCGGTACCAGCAATCCACAGGGGACCTCCTAGCTTACGTCACGAAACTGTGGAGTAAATACATCCAGTCTTATCGTGAGACTCATGTCGTTGCTCTTGATCAGTCAGCTGCCCTCTCATACGAGCTTCCATCCTGTGGTCTCCCAGAACAGCTTTGCAAATGGGTTGCTGACTTCCTCTCTGGTCGCAAGATAATCGTCGTAATTGACGGATTCTCCTCTTCATCTCACAACGTCAACGGGGGTGTACCCCAAAGATTGGTCTGTACTCCTACATTGTTCCTCTTACATAAGAACAACCTCCTTTCACGTTCGGTCAATCCAATCTACAACTTTGCTGATGACAGCTTTCTACATGCAGGAATTCGGAGTGACAAGCCAATCTCTACCGGTGAGCTGGATCTCTGACGTGAGACCTGCTTGGGGACGCAGTTTAATGCTTTCAAAACACATTACTGTACCTTGATGAACAAAAAGCGTCCAGCGCGCACCCAGTTTCGAACACATCTCGTCAATAGCGGCAGCTGCTGGAAAAAAGCTAAACTACCATATTTGCTTAGGGCTAAAAAGTACTTTTCTGGACATGACCTCTTCACTCTGTACAAGGCTCAGATAAGACCTAGCCCGAGTACTGCTCACATGTTTGGGATGCTGCCGCCCCGACTACATTATCCATGCTTGATGCTGTTCAAAGGAAGGCTGACCGACAGATCGATGACTTTTCTGTAAAGTACACTCTCGGGACCCTTTCGCACCGGCGGGCCGTTGGCGATTTTTTCTTTTCTACCGTTACGCCTCTCAGAGCTCTCCTCCATGATGTAACCGCGTGATGAGCCTTTCAGACAGACCAGCCTGACTTCTGTCTCCTATACTAACCGTATCGAACTTCGTACATCCAGAACTGGTCGATACGACCGCTCATTCGTTCCCAAGGTATCAAGATTGTGGAATAATTTACATGAGGAGGCTTTTCCAGTTCTACTAACCTCGGATAATTCAAAAATCATATTAATAAAGTTCCTTTTGTCTCCTCATCGCAGCCATGGTGCCGTGGCATTTAGGCTTTTACATGCGTTGCTGCAACGGTGTAAAAAAGGGTTATAGTGGAACCAGCTTTAGATGCGCAAGCCAGACCCTTGTCAGTTGGCTAAATCTACTATCTAATATTCTTTTGAAATCCTGTTTCAAGTTCCAAAATAATAATGGGAAAAACTAATAAAATAGGACAGTCCGAGCAAATTCTTCACATATGATAAGAAAAATACTCTGAGTTTCTTCTAATTCTTATTCAAAAAGGGCTCATTTTAAAGAATCTTCATGTTGCCAGGCCCAAATTTACGCCACACTTTTCTAAACAATTTCTTAAACACATTTCAAAAATTGTTTTTTCTTGCTCCGGTCAGAGTGGCTTTAGGTTTTCTGAACGAAGTTTTCGAGATATAAGCGATATAATATTTGAAAAAGTGCGTAATTGGTATGGCATTTTCGACCCAGAAATGTTAAAATTTTAATATTGCCACTGTTCTTAAATCTTCTTCAACCATCCATTAATAAAATCATAAAGGAATTGGGAGGTATTGTTATTGTAAATCTTTGTTTTTTTAATTGCTAACCAAGCGCGCAATGTGTTTTCAGTAACAATACGTCCCAAAATCCGGATTTTGTTACTGGATGTTTGAAAAATATTTAGCAACACTGGGAACATTAAAATTTTACCTTTTCAAATATTATATCACTCACATCTCGAAAACTATCAGTTTTGGAGAAAAGTTCTAATTCACCTGTTTTGTTATGAATGTCCGATAAAGCCTAAACACTTGACTTGAGTGGAAGAAAAGCAATTTTAGCGATCTATTTAAAAAGAAATGTTTAAAAAAACTGTTGTCGTAAATTTGGGCTTGGCAACATCTAGATACGTTAAAACGGGTCAGTTTCCAATAAGATTATGCAAAAAATCCGAATCAGAATATGTTTCCCATCAGATACGAAGATATTGCCCGGACTAGGACGCTATTTGATGATTGTTAGCTCTAAAGGCCACGGTTACCGAGATATATTTTTTCGTATTTTGTTTGTCTTGATAATAGTACAAAATAAACGTGTTTGGTTTCTGTAAAGCATGCTTAATCAAGTGAATAATTCATTAGAACTGCCCAAAACCTTAAAATTATGCAATGTGAATAAAAAATTTTAAATGTGAAACTCGATAACAGAGAGACTATACCTTTTTTTGGAACTTAGCTTTCTTGATGAAAGTTCGGTGGATTATTACCTTTCCAACGATATACTCATAGTAAGATTAATTTATTGTGCGGTCAAAATACGAGAAAAAACATTTGTTTACGCCTATGATTTTTTGTAAGTTTTGCACATTTTTATTTAATTTGAATCAGTTACAAACTGTTTTCAAAATTACCAACTGTTTTCTCGTAATTTGACCGCATAACCAATTATCTCCACGATGTGTCATCATTGAAAAAAATGAACTTCCGAACTTCTAAAGATCAAGCTCAGTTTCAAAATGAGGCATATTTTTTTTAATCAAACTTTCAACTTGAAATTTGTTATTCACGCCGTACTATTTAATGATTTTCCAAATCATTTTTTTTTTTTCGGCCGTTTGTACGAAATACCTACTTGCTCTGATTAAGCATACAGTTCAGAACCGAACCACGTTCATCTTGTGTAACTATTTTGACAAATAATAGAGCTACAACGATATAAAGATGAAAACAACTTATATCTCGGTAACCGTATCCCTTAAAGCATTACGGTTTGCACTAAAAATCATCAAATAGCATCTCCACTATCAAAAAAAAATTGTTGGTCCTTGTACGAAACACCCTGTATATTCGGTATCCTTATATCCTTGACACGTCCAAGTACCGTACAACTATGGATTCATTTTCAATAAGTCCCAAACAATCCTAAAGACTCCTTGAGGAAATAAGGCTGAATTGGAACGGGAGCCAATAGACTTGTGACCTAAAAACAATCGAATACAAATGGCTGACGTCAGAATAGCGTTAATTAAAAGGAGGCCTTGTTTACACGTCTTGATAATTAAAGGAGTCAAAAGCAGACGCTTGGTTGGAAAATGCCAATATCGAGAAAATCAACGAGTTTGGAAAAGAATGAATAATTAGGTGTGGTTTGTTGAAAACTTCGCGCTTATTTTAATGATATAAAATTGTGGAGCTCTGATATTTCTTCTGGATTGACAATCTTACCCATGTAGGTATGTCCTACTCTAACGGTTTTAAAAAATAAAAGAAGCTACGAACTTTGCTTCTTTGTTTCGTTAATCAATGACGTTATGTAGCAAAGTCGATTGAAATTTCTTTTTTGCCCAATATTTGTTATACATATCTTACTCGTATTTTCATTGCTCTATGAATACTTACTCTGTTTCGGCTTGGTTTAGAGACATATTAGCCTAATACGTTCAGGAAAAAGAGCACCCAGTAATAATGAATTTAAGACAAAGATGTTTGCTTAGATTGGAACAAAAAAGAAGATATCGATGAATTGGTTTTTCTGGTATTGTCTGTTCTTACAAAAAAAGTAAGCAAGCAATAGTTCTATTTTCTAGCTACAATTATTAAGTTTCCTACAGTCAGAAATACTGCCTATGTTACTTGCATCTAATAATATAACTAGTATCTTTGACAAATCTGAAAGAATTATTCCAATAACTTTAAATTTAAGGACGGCATATCGCATACATCCTTAGCGCTCAAGCTGACAAGACGTAATTTTTTGTTTGAATCTTGGCGTAGACTGTTGTATGGTAGTATATAATAATTAAAATGGAAAAAGGTTTTTTTACATGCCGATTCCACAAATCTTTTGAAGGTGGACATAGTAATTTCTTTACAAACAATCCACTTTATGTCAGTACGGAAATACGTAAGTAAGTAAATACATGTAGTATGATTTATTCTATACAACTCTTATAACGTGAAACCATTTTTTCAACCCTTTGCCTGCAACAATACCATACTATGGACTTATAAAAGTATTTTGAGTCATCAACTTTACGTAGGACGCGTTATGTCAGTGGCGGGGAATTATGGATGATCTTATTTAACTTTATCAATTTTATAAATAGAAGAAAATGAAAACACGCTCTGCATGCATCAAATAATTTAGGATGACCCAAACTAGAGCGAATACGTTTGATAAATTAATAATAAATTCAATATCGCCCAGTGACCAGAAAATCAACTGTTTGAACTGAAATTTAATCCAACGCCAATAGGACTTTATGGCCGTCCGGTGTTGACTCACAGCATTTTAATAATTCTTTCGTAAGACTTCACAATGACCATTTGTTGACCAGGAGTCGAATCAATGATTCGTCATTCATTTTTGGGTATTGTTAGCTGGCTGCTGTCATTATAGGTCTGGATGAGACACCCATGGAAACGAGGCGATTGGTTATGTGCAGTTAAAAAGAGAACGGGATACCTATATTGTACGAGTAAAAGCCAGGATTACGCCCGAAAATAGAGTTAAAAGCAAACCGTATCATTGCAGTTTTGAATGCGACGAAAAGGAGGAAACAGTAATCAAGCTACAATGCAGTGGTTGTGCTGCACAAGAGGGTGGCTGTAAGCATGGTGTAGCGCTATTTATGTGGCTGCACAGAAGAAGCGAAGAACCACCATGCACTTCCGTGAAGTGCTACTGGACAAATGCCAGATTATCTCTACTATTGGCAGTAATCTAAAATTCATAGAAGCCTCTCACATGATTACACATTAAGCCCACACTTGACCGACGTCTATGCATCGCCACGTCGGTGCAAATAAGGTTTGAACAGTGTTCCCTCTACAGCCACAAGATGATCACTATACAAATAATACTCACATTATTTCGAAATGCAAGCAATAATCAAATCTATTTCTGTTCTCCTTTAAATCATTTAGATTCTTTGACTCATCGTGCGATTCATACAGACTTAGGCGCAATTTCACCAACATTAATATTATAGACTAATCGGAAAATAACTTATCGAAATGCAATTTGACGGAAGCTGTCAAAGCTCTCAGAATATCAGTGATTTCTATTAAAATACTGAATAAAATCGTGAAACTTCGACTGTATTATCAACAAGACCACTTTTTGATTCCAACATGATGCTTTTGTACAGAAAAAACAGGACAACTTTCATGTATTTTGATATATGTTATAGGTTTACATTTAACAATCCGTTATCCCCCTCAGCGAATGGGAATGCGGCAAATAATAGGTCGATTTTCTAGCTGTTAAATTTGGCAGCAGATTTGGACGATTGTTAATGCATGGCACTCTCGAATTTACCAACTTCAATATACTGAAAGTTATCATTACATACCTGTTGAATAGTGTGGATTTGTCTGTATTTTGCAAGAAAATAGAATATAAAATACATTCCATCCAATTCCTCATCTTCCTTTACGTCATAATAGTAGTTATTTAGTAATTTATGGGTTAATGAATTTCTTCAAAGCAATAAAAACATTATGTCCTCTCCATCCTAAAACACAGCTAATATGTGTAAGACGTGTCAATCCCTACATCTCCCTGATGTAAAAAGCAATTACTATGGACATAGACAAAAAATTCAATCAAGGCGTGCTACAATAATAATTATAGAATCGACTAACGATACGGCCCTTAATCTGTTCGTTTTGCCTAGAGTGAGAAGACGAGAAAACTTTCAACAGCTTAGCGAGTTTGATAGGGGGCGAATAGTTAGCTTTTGTAAGGCTGGTTGGTCCTTTAGAGAAATATCCACCAGTGTGCGCAGAAGTCTAAATACGGTGGTGGTTTGTTGTCGAGCATGGAATCAGGAAGGTACAGGCTTGTCGCCGCCTTAGGCTTTTTGCTCTACGGACCTTCTCGTCCACAAGATCAATCGTTGGCCAGCGGTTTGGAGAGCATGGAAAGCCTGATACAAAGTGAATTGCTTACGGCCGGATCAACAGTTGTGGCCTTACTTCATACCGTTCTCAGTTTATCTAGCCTCTCACTCCTAGGCACCGAAGTGACCAACTGGTTTAGTGCAGAAAACGGCTGAACTGGAACCTCGAATGGAATACCATTGTCTTTAGTGATGTATCCAGATTCTGTTTGGGGTTGCATAATGACCGTGCAAGAGTGAGAAGGTGACGAGGAAACACATCTGTGCCACACTCTTAACATTATGGTACCGGAGGCTATTGCTTATAAAGGGTGGGCCATCAATTAGATTTTTCAAGTTGGTATTATTTTGACAGTTGGTAACACTCCCATGCTCAACATATTGACAAATATGTTGTGTCAAACTTCCGCTGTGAGCAATGGATCGTTTTAATCTTGAACAAAGGTGGGAAATATAGAGAAGACTATTTGGTCGGAATGAAGCTCCGTCCGTGACTGATATGCGAAAAGTCGTGGAGAAGGTTTATGAAACTGGCCTGCTTGTGGATAACAAAAGGCATGAGCGTGTTCGACTCGTACGTACAGCCGAAAACATTGCTGCTGTTGCCCAGAGTAAGTGTGCATGAAAACGCAAGAATGTCAACTCGTCACAGAGCACAACAAGTGGGCATCAGTCGCTCTGGCCAACTAGCAAAGTAGTGCTACAAGCTTTTGGTAAAAGAACCGTTCAGTCATAAAAGCTCTCTATTCTTGTTGCCTGAACACCAAAATGCTGGCTTAATGTTGTGTGGAATGCAGATTTGCTTTCTGCAGCATATTTGCTCTAAAATGAGGTGTTTAAAATATTCTCATAGCATAGTTATACAACACCTTATAGGACAATTTTTTTACTGTTGCATAAACGTTTATACAACTATTTTATACAGCATATTTGCGTGGTAGTCAAAATAGTTGTGTTGTGGCATCCATGGTAACGTTTTTATAACAAACCCGAGCCTTGTTGTTTTGCTGCGCAAATTTACTATTTTAACCAATAAATTGCTCCCAGCGGAAGCACTTATACAGCTGTCGTTTAGTAACTGTTAAAGGCTGTACATCTGCAACAATATTACAACTTTTGTAGTACAAAATTGCTGTGCTCGGCATACATTTGTTGCTAGATATTTTGGTAAACCATAACCTAACTTTCTGCTGTCATATCTTCGTTAAAATGCCATAACCAATGTTTTAAGACAAACAATGCATGCATATTGGTTCAAAAGGTGTTACCAACTGTTCAAACAGAAGATATAGATCTGGTACAAATTCTGGGTAAATCATTGGACTCGGTATTTCATTTCAGACATTTGTCAAATTGTTGTACAACACCTGCAGACAACACCAAAATATTCTAATAAACCAAAGACAACATGGACGATGCCATGATTATACATAACCACCCGCCATATTGGGATAACATTTATTCCTCTATTTAATATTAAATAATTATGTTTCGGTGGAATATTACAGATATAAAGTGATAAACGTTAGTGTAATTGTGTCTAAATATAGGATTTGTCGAAGATTTAATACAGATAAGTTCAGTTTTCCTTCTTAAAAATCTAGACAAACTTTTGATCATTATTAAAATATGAATCAAATACGAAGCCCGTAGAAATTGCGTAACTACTTTGCACGATAATCACAATAAAATTTATTGCGCAAGTAATTCAATAGCCCTTTATCACAGTGTAGAAGTTTATCATATACCTGTGTATGAAATTCACAATGGCCGATACGTCAGTAAACAAGATGACTGTAATGTGTTAGTTATATATCGTTCACTTCGTCTATACAATACATAAGAAATAGTTTGGTTACACTAAAGTAGAATTACGTAACAGAATAGTTGTATAGTTGACAAAAACTGAATCTTGCACTGACGCAAATGTCCTATAACAGCTGCAAGAGGTTTACACTTTTGTTGTATAACTGTTACCTGCAGCCCTTATAAAACCTCTTAAATGACTGAAGTGTCCTATTAGGTGTGCCCATTCCGCTTGTATAGCTGTTCTAAGAGGGTTTTGCCAATGTTCTTACAGTATACAATGCTGTGTAAGGAATACTCTATAATCATTCTTGCAACTCTAATAGGAGTGATAATGGTTAGTTGGGGGCACTTCTGTGCGGGGAACATTGCATAACTACCTGGGATGATTTCCTTACAAGGTGCAACTTGTGCAAGAGTTGAAACAAAACGACCATCCGTTTCGGTATAGTTTCTCTGTGTGGGCTCCAAATCAACTGGATACGGACGTCAATTTTGGTCGCCAAATCATCTTTTCGGACGAAGCCCATTTCCATCAGGGATGTTACGTTAACAAGCAGAACTGTAGGATTTGGGGTTCCGAAAATCCACATGTCGTCATATTAAAACCAATCCATCCGAAAAGAGTTACTGTTTGGTGTGGCTTTTGGAGTAGTGAGATTATTGGTCCCTACTTTTTTCAAGATGAAGATGGTATCAGTGTGACGGTACACGGGGAACTCTATAGAGACACGTTGAGTTTTTTGTGGCCACTATTAGACGACATGCACTTTCACAATCTCTGGTTCCAGCAGGATGGCGCAACATGCTACACCAGCTCTGAAACAGTCGATCTTTTACACACGAAGTTCGGTCATCGCGTTATCAGCCATTTTGGAGACGTCCATTGGCCAGCCTGCAGCTGTGGTTTGACGCACAAGGATTACTTCCTATGGGGTACTGTTAAGGACCGCTGTTACACTAACCATCCTCAGACAATTGATGCTCTTAAGGAAAATATCCGCCGAGCTATTGATGAAATAGACCCACAAACTATCGAAAATGTGCTTCAAAATTGGGTTAAGAGGATGGACTACTGCCAGGCCAGCCGCGGCAGCCATTTAACTGAAATTGTTTTTAATAAATAATGGGATACTGTATTCTTTTGAATAAAGTATCGAGTCTTACATATTATTGAAGAGTGTAGTTTTGATACGAATTTAAAAAAGAAACCAACGGATGGCCCACCCATTAGAAACCGGTCACCGTTGGTGTTAATCACAGGCAACACGACTGCCATGCGTTAAGTCCAGAAGGTGGGAGAGCTACATGTTCTGCCTTTTATGCTATAGCCAGAATTACGATGTTCCATTTTGAAGAATACGATTTATTGCCTTGGCGCCTATATCTCTCGATCTTTCACCCATTGAACACATCTGGGACATTATGGAAAAAATTATTACTCCGTTTATCTTATCCTCCACTACAAGAGGAAATTGATCATCTAATTGGAGATATGCCCAAACATGTTTCTGAGTGCATAAGTCATCGTGGAGGCACAATAAAATATTAATGTTTTACATTTCTTGGATCAACTACTTACTAAGGACATGAATACAAAAAAATGTTGTAATAAGTTCATTATTACTAGGTGTTCTTAGTACATATACTTTATATCGTTTACTAAACAGAGCGTAGAAAATCAAACTTTCCAGGGACCCGAGTATTTAGCTATGTGATTTAAAACAAAAAATCAAAGATCAAGTGAAGGAAATATATTTTTTTGAAAATCTTGCAGGGTTAACGTGATCATAACAAAAAGCTGTGGAGAATTGAAAAAGCCTTCAAGAAAGAAACCAATCCACTAACAATCCCTAGGAGTGTAAACCAGGTCGAAGTACTCGAAAAACTTGTTAATGCTGCAAGAAACAAGTATTCAAGATTATCTCAAGGGATCAGAAACCTATACCCCATTCTCATCTTTCCTGGAAAATAGATATTCAAACCATCAAAAGCACCAGAACCAGATGGTATTCAAA